TGAGCTGCCACATCCAGCTAAATTTTGTATTTTTAGTGGAGATGGGGTTTCACCATGTTGGCCAGGCTGGTCTCAAACTCCTGGGCTCAAGCAATTCACCCACCTCAGCCTCACAACGTGCTGGGATTACAGACGTGAGCCACCACACCCGGCCCCAAAAATGTTCTATTTTAACTTTTTTTTTTTGAGACAGTCTTGCTCTATTGCCCAGGCTGGAGTGCAGTGGCATGATCTTGGTTCACTGCAAACGTCTGCCTCCCGAGTTCAAATGATTCTCCTGCCTCAGCCTCCCGAGTAGCTGGGATTACAGGTACCTGCTGTCATGGCTGGTTAATTTTTGTATTTTTAGTAGAGACAGGGTTTCACCATGTTGGCCAGGCTGGGCTCAAACTTCTGGCCTCAGGTGATCCACCTGCCACAGCCTCCCAAAGTGCTGAAATTACCCATTGTATGTTCTTGACGCCTTTGCTGACAGTTGGCCATAAGTATATGGATTTATTTCTGAGTCTGTATTCTGTTGTTTTTTTTTTTTTTTTTTTTGAGGCGGAGTCTCGCTCTGTCGCCCAGGCCGGAGTGCAGTGGCCAAATCTCAGCTCGCTGCAAGCTCCGCCTCCCGGGTTCAAGCGATTCTCCTGCCTCAGCCTCCCGAGTAGCCGGGACTACAGACACCCGCCACTGCGCCCAGCTAGTTTTTTGTATTTTTTAGTAGAGACGGGGTTTCACCACGTTAGCCAGGATGGTCTCGATCTCCTGACCTCGTGATCCGCCCGTCTCGGCCTCCCAAAGTGCAGGGATTACAGGCTTGAGCCACCGCGCCCGGCCCTGAGTCTGTGTTCTGTTATGCTGTTGGTTATGTGTTTGTTCCTATTTATTTATTTATTTATTTATTTATGTGTCTGTTCTTATAACAGTACCAGTGCTGTTTTGGTTACTATAGCCTTGTACAATTTGAAATCAGGTAGTGTGATGCCTCCAGCTTTGTTCTTTGTGCTCAGGATTATTTTGACTATCTGCCATTGCCTGATATTTGAATAATATGTATATTAGAATGATTTGTAGAGCCTTCACACATCTAACACATATCCTCCATGCCACAATTGTGTGTCCTTTGAGGGTGAACTTAACTTTTGAAAGTGGCCTGACGTTACTTGGGGCCACGTTGGGTAAAGAAAGGAGAAGAAGAGGATCAAGCTGGATGGCACAGGTAGCAGCTTGGCTGCACCTCGATGAGACAGATTTTCCTATGGGCTCCAAGTGCATTTCCAAGAGAAGCTTTCTGGTAGGGCTCAAGTGGCGGCATCTCTGTCGAACTCCCTCCATCCATCATGTCAGCATCCAATTGACATCTACTTATAGCCACTTGGCAGCCCCTTCCTGGGGCAAACCCTCATATTCCTGAGGGTTACAGGTCCCCAAATTTATGGCTCCCGGATCTCCCTGGTCTTCTCTTCCCAATACCAGTTAGCTGCAGCCTGAAGGCCCTGCCACAGCTTAGGAAGGGCCCTGGCCAGGAGGCAGTGGCAAGTGGAAGGCTGGCAGCTGCTCTGCTCCCTACTGTCCCCACTCCCTCTGCTCTCCCCACATCACAGACTGGCCTGCGGGACCGGGCAGCAGGCACAAAAGTGGTAGTGACCAAGGCCCCCACCCTAAGCCTGGTGCCATCTTGCAGGGCACAACTCCAAGTTGTGTCTCGGGCACTCCCAGGGCCCCCTGCTGAGTCCTCAGGCAAGGCGCTGCTCCACCATCACTACTCAGTCACCATGAGGCCATGGGTCACTCCTGTCTCTGGGTCCTGGCTTCCAAATTGGCTGGATAATGATCCCAGGGCCTCACCAGCTCTGGGATACAGTGCTATCCTAAGAGGGACAAAGCCCTCTGCTCTTAAAGCCATGCCCCACCTATTCCAGCTACAGACCTTCATGTTGTTTGACGTGGGCAATTTCCATGTCTGTAACTCAACTGAAAGTTTATTTAATTCAAGAAAGTTTCTCGCCAGAAAGCTCTGTTGAGGTCAGAGGATTGAAGGACCACTTTGGGGACCCTTGCTGAAGATGGGCTCTGCTCCGGGGATGCCCAGCCTAGGTGGTCACAGAACCCAGCTTGCTATAAATACTTGCCGAATGGTACAGACTTTCTAATGTGTCTTCATCCTAACGTGCTCTGCAGGGCCATGACTTAAGCCACAGACTCCATCCATATTGTCCTGGGGGAAACCCCAGGCCTGGAGTCAGGGACAGTGGAGGGCAAGGATTTGGGTTTTCTCAGATCCCAGTTTGTCTGTTGTCTCCCATTGATTTCAGGCTCTACACAGAGAACAGAGAGAGCTGGTTGCTGTGCTGAGGGAGCCTGAGTGAGGAGACCGCCAGGCCCAGAAGCAGAGGGCAGTCAAGGTCAAGAGCTTGTGGCCAGCATGCCTGGCCTGGGCGGCCTGCCTCTGAGAACGGCTGAAATGGTGCCCAGTCCCTCAGCAGTGATGGAATTTGCTGGAGGACTAGGCCAGAGAAAGCCTCATTGCCACTGTGCCTTTGGGGTACCCTTGGGGTTGGACATACACCCCCTTTAGATTCCTCTGTTTCTTCTACCTGGATAATTCTTGGTCATGTTCTCTCTTCTTTAGGTTCAGGTCAGCTTTGCCCCTCCGCCCCACTCCTGCTGGTTCCTGAGCCCTTTTCCCTGGGCCTGGCTTGGAGAATCTGTTTTCAATCTCCACTGATTGCCCCCTTGCTGCCCAGCCCAGGGGCCTTTACCATGTTCTCCCCACATCCGTAAATAAACTTCCTCCACTACACTGTAATCTGTGAGGATGCTTCCTCTGCCTGGCCTCTCTTGGGCCAAGTCTTCAGTCGTGGTCCTCTGGGAGCCTCCAGGCAGGGGTGGGTGGGCAAGGGGCTTACCAGACCATGTGCGGAGAGCAGCAGAGCCCCTTGTACAAAAACCAGGACCCCTGGGTTCCCTGTGGATAGGATGAGCTGCCAAGGAGGTGTCACTCTTGGCACCCTCCAAGAATCATTACGGCCGGGCGCGGTGGCTCATGCCTGTAATCCCAGCACTTTGGGAGGCCCAAAGTGAATCACCTGAGGTCGGGAGTTCGAGACCAGCCTGGCCAACATGGTGAAACCCTGTCTCTACTAAAAATACAAAATTAGGCCAGGTGCAGTGGCTCATGCCTGTAATCCTAGCACTTTGGGAGGCTGAGGTGGGCAGATCACCTGAGGTCAGGAGTTCGAGACCAGCCTGGCTAAATGGTGAAACCCCATATCTACTAAAAATATAAAATTAGCCAGACATGGTGGCGTGTGCCTGTAATCCTAGCTACTCGGGGGGCTGAGGCAGGAGAGTCACTTGAATCCGGGAGGTGGAGGTTGCAGTGAGCCAAGATTGCGCCACTGCACTCCAGCCTGGGCAACAAGAGTGAAACTCCATCTCAAAAAAAAATTAGCTGGGCATTAGAACGTGCCTCTAATCCCAGCTACTCGAGAGGCTGAGGCAGGAGAATTGCTTGAACCTGGGAGGCAGAGGTTGCAGTGAGCCGAGATGGCGCCATTGTACTCCTGCCTGGGCGACAGAGCGAGACTCCGTCTCAAAAAAAAAAGAATCGCGGGCACTTTGTTTCTCTTGCTTCTTCCACTTCATTCTTCTGCCAGGGCAGCCAAAGGCAGGATGGGTGCTTCCTGGATCCACCAGAGGGGGAAAGGGGTTGGGTGTGGATGGGGGCAGAACTTTTCCCTAGTGAGGGCTTTGGTGAGGTCTGCCAGAGGCACACTGGGGACACAGGCAAGCATCAGGTGGCCCCCACTTCCCCCCTCCCATAAACAGTACTCAGCTCAGTCTCCCTCTGCCCACTTTGTTACCATGGAGCTGTGGCATTCAAGCATTCAAATGCCTTGCTCCTGTCAGGCCTGCCCCGTTGGGTGCTTTGTTTACTTGTCAGGTTGGGCAGATGGTCTCAAGCCCTGGTTGGTTGGTGGGTGGGTGAGTGACACAGGTTAGACAGGGGAAGGTCCCAGGACACCTCTTCCCTCTCTGGGCTGACCTGAGGCAGTGGAGGCTCTCAGGTGTGGGATGGGTTTTCAGGCTGGGTGGTTCTGTACCGTAGAGGACAGGCCTTCCTATCGCTTACAGGAGCACTACGGGAGGGCAGGTCCCTCCCCAGGGTGGTTAACACCGTGGAGGCTGCAGGGTCAGGAGGAGAATCGGGGGGACCGGGAGGGCGGAGGCACACTCCATCTCCATGCTCCTCAGGCCCTGCCTCCCTGCCTTGTGCCTGTGTACCTGGCAGTCACAGCCACCTAGCGTGTCCCAGAGGCCAACCAGTTGACCTCATCTGCCCAGCCCCACCTCCATTGGCTTTGGCTCTTGGCCTTGTGCCGCCCGACCCTTTCTCCTGTCTTGATGTGCAGGGCCTGAGCCACCGAGCTGCGCCCACAGCAGACTGCCTTTGGTGTCTCACCGGGTGAACGAGGGCATTGCGAGGCATCTCCTCCCTGGGTTTGGCTCCTGCCTACGGGGCTGACAGTAGAAATCACAGGCTGTGAGACAGCTGGAGCCCAGCTCTGCTTGAACCTATTTTAGGTCTCTGACCCCTGCTTCCTCTTTAGAATCTCCTTAGAGCTCAGCCAGTGCTCAACCTGAGGCTGGGGGTCTCTGAAGAAGAGTGAGTCGGGGCTGAGGGGTCTCGGGCTGCCCCCTGAGGAAGGGGCCAGAGGCAGTGTCAAGAGCCGGGCAGTCTGATTGTGGCTCACCCTCCATCACTCCCAGGGGCCCCTGGCCTGGCAGCCGCAGCTCCCAACCACAGTATCCTTTGGGGTTTGGCCTACGGAGCTGGTGCGGATGACCCTCAAATAGCCCTGGCAGATTCCCCCTAGACCCGCCTGCACCATGGTCAGGCACGCCCCTCCTCATCACCGGGACACAGCCCAGAGGGTATAAACAGTGCTGGAGGCTGGCGGGGCAGGCCAGCTGAGTCCTGAGCAGGAGCCCAACACAGCCACTGAGACGCCATGAGAGCCCTCACACTCCTCGCCCTGCTGGCCCTGGCCACACTTTGCATCACTGGCCAGGCAGGTGAGTGCCCCCACCTCCCCTCAGGCCGCACAGCAGTGGGGGCTGAGAAAAGGAAGCACCATGGCCCACCTCTTCTCACCCCTTTGGCTGGCAGTCCCTTTGCAGTCTAATCACCCTGTTGCAGGCTCAATCCATTTGCCCCAGCTCTGCCCTTGCAGAGGGAGAGGAAGGAAGAGCAAGCTGCCCGAGACACAGGGGAAGGAGGATGAGAGCCCTGGGGATGAGCAGGGGTGAACCAGGCTCCCTTTCCTTTGCAGGTGCGAAACCCAGCGGTGCAGAGTCCAGCAAAGGTGCAGGTAAGAGGATGGACCTGATGGGCTCCTGGACCCTTCTCACCTTGGTCCCTCAGTCTCATTCCCCTACTCCTGCCACCTCCTGTCTGGCTGTCAGGAAGGCCAGCCTGCTGCCAACCTGATCCTCCCAAACCCAGAGCCACCTGATTCCTGCCCCTCTGCTCCACAGCCTTTGTGTCCAAGCAGGAGGGCAGCGAGGTGGTGAAGAGACCCAGGCGCTACCTGTATCAATGGCTGGGGTGAGAGAAAAGGCAGAGCTGGGCCAAGGCCCTGCCTCTCCGGGATGGTCTGTGGGGGAGCTGCAGCAGGGAGTGGCCTCTCTGGGCTGTGGTGGGGGAACAGGCAGCCAGCCCTGGTGGGGACCCTGGAGCCCCATGTGTAGTGAGAGGAGGGATGGGCATTTTGCACGGGGGCTGATGCCACCACGTCGGGTGTCTCAGAGCCCCAGCCCCCTACCCAGATCCCCTGGAGCCCAAGAGGGAGGTGTGTGAGCTCAATCCGGACTGTGACGAGCTGGCTGACCACATCGGCTTCCAGGAGGCCTATCGGCGCTTCTACGGCCCGGTCTAGGGTGTCGCTCCGCTGGCCTGGCCGGCAAACCCAGTTCTGCTCCTCTCCAGGCCCCCTTCTTTCCCCTTCCCCTTGCCCTTGCCCTGACCTCCCAGCCCTATGGATGTGGGGTCCCCATCATCCAGCTGCTCCCAAATAAACTTCAAAAGAGGAATCCGTGGGCCTGTGAATCTGTCCAGTTTATGGAGTGTGGGAGGGAGGTGTCAGGAGGATGGGGGTGAGGAGGTTTTACCTTCTTCAGTTCTAGAAAGTGCTTTCCAAAGTTTTATTTTTTTATTTGTACCTGCCTTGTTCCAGAAAACATTGAAGGTGGCTTCCTAAAGTCTTAACTAGGGATCCCCCCTCTAGCCTAGGACCCTCCTCCCCACACCTCAATCCACTGAACCATCCACAATGCACCCAGATAGGCCCACCCCCAAAAGCCTGGACACCTTGAGTACACAGTTATGACCAAGGACAGACTCATCTCTCTAGGCAAATAGCTGCTGGCAAACTGGCATTACCTGGTTTGTGGGGATGGGGGGCAAGTGTGTGGCCTCTCGGCCTGGTTAGCAAGAAGCATTTGGGGTAGGCCTAGGTTAGTCGTGTTAGTTCTTCCCTGTGCTGAGCAGAGACTTCAGGAGCACCAGAAATGGAGCCAGATGAAAGGACCCCAACACCTCCTGGCCCCAGCCTTGACAGAGTGTGGGGGCATCTTCAGCCTGGACACGCATGCATCTCCCCTCTCAAGACCCTCAGCACTTCCTCTACTCCCATCAAGAGCCCCCTCACAGTCCCGCTCACACTCTGCCATTCCCCCTAGACACCCCTCCTCTCCTGTGCCCTCTCTCCTCAGCCCCTGTTGGTTCCAAGCTGAGATGTGTCCCCACCTGATTAGGCCCAACTCTGGGCTCCTCCTCAGCACGGGGGCCTGGCCTCTGCCCCCTCCAGGGCAGGGTCAGGGATGGGGCTTCACTGTTGTTTGGCCTGAGTACCCCCCTCCAGTGGGCCACCCTGCAGCAGAGGGCATGTACCGGGGGCCCGAAGCAGGGAGGCCGTGAAAGCAGCAATGATGAGTAGGTTCCCGGCTACAGCCAAGACCAGTGTGGCCACTGTGCCTGCCAGGCCCAGGGCAGGTTCCTGTGTGGCCAGCCAGGCTCTGCGCGATCCCATATCAGCCAGCACTGCCTCCAGCTGGAAGTGGGTGCCCAGCACTGCACAGATGTGGAATAGCTGGTGGCTGTGGCCTGTGGAGAGGATGGGCAGGTCAGAGCCACACCTTTCCAAGTGCAAGTCACCCCACCCTCTGGGCCTGCTACTCCCCTATTGAGAATTAAGAAACCCTGACTCCCAGAGTGACTGAAAGGAGCGAATGAGCATTTGTGCATGTGGCCCCAGCACACATGCTACTAGTTTTGCTACCTGAGAAGTGGCAGGTGGAGGACCCTTCCAGTGATGCTCTCGTTAGAGGAAAACAGGGAAGTCCCTCCTATAATTTGCCTCCATCCTGGGGTTGTAATACCCATTTACCCAGTTCATTCTGTGCTCTAGGAAGCCATCTGCCCCTGCCTCTTCCCGGGCCGGGCCAGGCGTGCCCTCACCGATGTAGTCAAAGCGTCCTGGTGCCAGCCTTTCAGGCAGGTGGGAGGCGAAGAGGAAGCCAGTGAGCAGCGCACAGAAGAGGTGGTAGCCATGGCTGGTGCTCAGGACCTCCTGCCCACAGCTGTGGCCCCTGCCCCAGCACAGCCCGAGCTGGCAAAGGAAAAGAGACTGCTGGAGAGGGACTTGGGAGCCAAAACATAGGGAGTGTCTGGGATCTGGTGAGGAGGCAGAGCGGGCGGGCACAGCTAGGCAGGGTGCTGGACCAGAAGAGAGGCGGCTGGGCTGAGGCAGGGACTGGGGGGGCAAGGCTGGAAGTCGGCACTTTGAGGGTCTGGACAGGAAAGCAGGTGTCTGGGCAGGGGCCCCAGGCCTCCTTACCCGATAAAAGAGTGGGAGGTTGTCGAACAGGAAGGGATAGGCGAAGGCTGCTGTGCGGAGAACCTTACTGAGCCCAGGGCTTTCCAGCTCCAGGAAACTGGGAGGCGGGAGGAAAAGGCTGGTCACCATCGCTGTGCTCAGGGTAGGGGTCAGGAAAGGCAAGAGGACTTGGGCAAAGATGGAATATCAGCACAGCCTGCAGCTAAGAAAACCCTTAGGGCGTATGACCTGTGTCAACGACCACATCTGTATGTGGGGATAAAGACATCTGCCTTTTATGGTGGCTTGTGAGAATTAAAGGAGACAGCACGGGTATGAGCATACAGGGTCTGACAGAGGAAGTCCTCAGTACATGGTCCCGATGTCACTAATGCTGTTTGAGAGCAGTGAGGTGTGTCCTCTCCTGTGCCTCCGCCTTCCCCGTCCCCACCGGAGGGGCCTGGGAACCCACCGGGAGTAGCAGGAGAGGCCGGTGCACAAGAAGGAGTTGAGTGCGGCGGCAGGCACAAAGAACTGGTGCAGGCGGCCGTGCAGCCAGGAGGCCGGCATGGAGTAGGCGGCATAGGGGAAGGCGCAGCCTGCGGTGAGGTCGGGGCGTGCAGCTGAGGCCTGAGGGGCACGCCCCTATGTCCCGTGTACCACCCCTCGACCTGCTCCGGGACGCCCAGACCCCGCGCTCCCGCGCTCCCGCGCTCCCGCGCCTGTCCGGCTCACCGAGGCTGTAGAGGCTGAGCGCGCCGTAGTCCAGGAAGTAGCAGATGTGGCGCGCGCGGGGCGACATGGAGCTGAAGGTGTGCGCGCAGCACGACGCGAAGGGGTAGAGGCAGGCGGGCAGCAGGAAGACCAGCAGCGGCCAGTGGTACGGCTCCGCGCGGAAGCCGGGGCCGCCCGCCAGCGCCAGGAGCCGCCACAGGAAGTACCTGCGGCGGGCGCGTGCTCAGGCCGCCGTGGACCCCCGCGACTGCTGCTGCAGCCCGTGGGCCTGGACGGTCCCTGCCCGCCTGGGTACCCCCTCTGAGCTCAAGGCCGCGGCCTGGGGCAGAGCCTCCCCTCACCAGGTGGGCAGGAAGTGAGTCCAGATGTTGACCGTCTCGTTGGTCATCTGGAAGGAGCTGAGAACACAGTCCAAAGCCGAGCTGGTGGGGCGGCGGTAGCCAGACATGATGCCATCTTCCCAGAACACCTAGGGTAGTGGTGGGAGAGGAGGGGCGTCACTGTGCCCCGACCCTTTCCCTCCATTTGAGATCTCTGGAAGCAGGGTCAAAGAGGCTGGGCTGGAGACCAACGTAGCCCCCAAGCCAAACTGAATCTGATCTGATCTTACCACAGGTCCCAGCACCCACAACCCGCAAAACAGATGGGAAACCGAAGAGCCAGAGTGGGGTGGGGTGGGGGTGGGGCGCAGCACACAGGGCGCTCTGGGGAAGGGGACTCCAGATGGAGGGCCACAAGCTTGTTCCTCAGAGAAGAGAGGAAGAGCCTCACACTGGAAAGGGAGAGTAAGAGTTCGCCTGCAGGAGGGGCTGCCCCAATAGCTAAAAGAGAATGTCAGCCCCTAGTCAGTCCTCTAGGGAATGGGGGTTGGTGGGTCAGTGAATGGAGCCCCTCACCCGGGGGACCTGGTGGACTTGAAGAAGTTGGGGCAGCTTGAGACTGAGCATGGTGGCCTGGCACCTCCACGTTGACCTAGAGACAGAGCAGGGGATAGGGGATCAGATATCTGCCCCCATCCACAGGCCCCTTTCACCTGGGTTCAGCCCCAGGATGGGCAGCACGTGTGGGAGGCAGATGGCACCCTCCCTCCTGGAGCTGCTTCCTTCAGGCCCAGGGAGGCTGGTCCACCTTCCCCAGCCCTTGCACCACTTAACTCCAACCCCTGTTCTCCTTGGGGCATTCAGTCCCCACACTGAGGGGCTTGGCGGCCTCAGCCCAGCATGGAGTGGTGGGGTCCTCCCAGCCGGGAGGCTGCCCCAAATAGTGATCCAAACCCCCAGGCTCCCAGTTTGTGTCTCGGAAGAACTCTGACTCCTGGAGGCCAGCACAGAGACAGCCCGGGTACCACTCCCTGCCCCACCAGAATGTGCTTCGCCCACAGTGCCCGAGCTGAGCACAGAACACTCTTGGCACTCAGAATCTCTGGAGAAGCCAGATGCCATCAGGTGGGACAAGGAGTTGGGGGATGCCTGGCTTTTCTCTGAGGACTATACTTGTGCCCCCCAGGAGAGTTCTGGGGTCCCTGCCCCTCCTGAGCCCCATATCCCTCAGCCCCAGACCTGTGCACTGCCTCCAGGTGGCCGCGGCTCTGCTGCCCTGCTGGCCTCTCCCGGCACATTCCTTGGCACAAGTGGAGGGGCTGGGCCAGCTGGGCAGGCGGAGCTGCCCCAGGAGGAGGACTAGGACACTCCCCCCACCAACCCAGGCCAAAACTTTGGAGCAACTCTAGAGCCTAGTCCCTCCTCTTCCTGCCACCAGCAATGCATCCGTGTTTTTGCTGCATGCACTCTGGGGCTTGCACCAGCAGTCACCCCCCAGCCTCTGCCCCTGAGATGGGTGCTGGAGACCCTGCTGGGCACAGGGCAAACCTGGCCCTAGTCCCTGCACCCCAGCAGAACAAAGATGGATGAGGGCCTCCCAGGGTATCCTTTGCTTGCTCCCACAAGTGGGATGGGGGAGTTCTCCCCTATCCTGAGTGTTGCCCATCTATCTGGGGAAGGAGTGAGGAATACACTGGGGTCTAGCTCCCCTCACGGTGCCTTCCCTTAGTAGTAGGGTTTGGAGATCTCTGGAGTGGGGTGTGTGCAGTTGCTGTGGGAATGGGGGAGGGACGGCTGGAGCAAGGTGCTTTACCTCTATTTCCCCAGAGAGGTGGTGTCAGAGCCCCAGAAGGTGAGCTTCCTTACCCAGAGCTTGGCGGGTGCTCCTAAGCTGGTGGGTCAGCAGGCCCAGGGCTCCACGGGCGGAGTCCGAGGCTGCTGCCAGCCAGGCTGATGGAGGAGAGGGGCCAGGCCTGGGCGGGGAGTGGGGAGACAAAGGGGAGCCAGGGAACAATCCCAGCCTTGTCCAGCCTCCAGGGAGCAGCACAGGGTGGCCCAGCCCCATTAGCAGGCAGCTCACTCGGCCGCCTGCACACAGCCAGCTCCTCTAGCACAACCCAAACTCCCTGTGCTGACTGGCTAGAATAGGCTAGGGGCCCAAGCCAGGATGTGGCCATGGTGCTGTCGAGTCCCCCCGGCGACTCAGAGCAGTTTCCTTGTTCCAGGTTCTCCCAGCAGTTAAGGACAGCTCTGCCTTAGGCTGGCAGAGGAACCCAAATCCCCAAATGCGGAACCTGTTTCAGAAGCCCTCTCTTACCATGCTTTGCTGCCTTTTAGCACCTGGTGCTGGGTAGGGCTCAGCAAACTGCCTGTGGTAATGTTGGTTCTACCATGCGGGATTCACCAGGCTCACCACCTCCCCATCCCCACCCTGAACACAATTTGAAGTGCCAATCTTTGCAGGACAGGCACTTGAGGACTCAGAGGCTGGTTTCAAGGCTGACCTCCCCCACCCCCTTGAGGAAGAGGACCCAGCTGGTGACAGTGAACCAACCCCAGGCAGGGATGTTGCTGGCAGGAGATTTTCACTATCACCCCTGCAAAGGCACTGCCTCAGTTTACAGGGTCAAGGAGCTTGACAGTGTCTATCAAACCATCTCCAGGGCTTTCACTCAAATTGCCTGCTTCTTGTTCTGTTCCATCCACTTCAAAGAAGTCTTTCCAAAATGCATTTCAGGACGCCATCTTCAATGTCCCACCTCCCCATGAAACTTCTGTACAGACAGGCACCAGGAGACAGGGATTGGGCTTGGGGGGGTTTATTAAGTGATGCTTTAGTCTCAGTCTCTGCCAGCAACTGGGGGTGGGGTGACTCTACTCACCCCAGGATTTCCCAGACTTGCTGTTTTAGAGGAAAGAGGCAGGAAGCCAACTACCCTCTAAGCCACAGCTTGGGAAACTAGACTAGTACTGGGGTGGGGGCAGCAGAGCTAAGACCCTCCACCCCCAGCCCGTGCTATCCTCCCAGCCTGAGGGGGAGGAGCTGAGGCAATTCTGGCCTCAGTCTCCCACACACAGCCCTGCTCTTGGTGCGCCATTCACTGCCCTGAGCTATTCATGATCTCTGCTCCCACATATTCACCTCGACACTCCAAAAGCCAGCCCCACACTCAGCCCCTTCAGGTCTTTAGTCCTGGGGAGGGCAAAAGGAGGGACAGAGGGCTCTGACTGAGCAGCTTCAAGGGGCCTCTCCTTTCGGCCGCCCACTGAATGCCGGCCCCTTGTCTTCAGCCCTCCCTTAGATAGGAAGCGGGGTGGTGGCCTCAGACTGCACCCCCTTTCTTCTCTTCCTGACATCCCATTCTCTCCCAGCACAGCAGCCAAGAGCACAAAGCACAGCACCTGTAGGGCTGGTGGGCACAGGAGCCCATGCTGGCACAGGCCAGATTGCCCGCAGCCCTAGGTGGGGCCTGCTCCCTGCCCTGGAAGCTAGACAGAGGGAGACAGAAAGCAGAAGTGGGGCAATGGGATGTGCAGCCCCTGTGGCAGGAGGAGGAGCACACGAACCCTGACCCTGCTATTCGGTGCAGGCCACACCAGGCCTTGCTTCTCTAAGAGCCCCTGTGGCTGGCTCCAGAGCTGCCTGGTCCCCATAAAGGGGGCTGAAAGGAGGATGGGTGATCCTTGAGGAGGGGAAGGGTCTGCAGAGAATCACTCAGACACCAGGTATTACCCGGCTCTTCCCCCAAGAACTGGAGGGTCCAAACTCCTGGCCCCAACCACTCTGCATCTTGGGTGAGGAAGAAGGGCCTTTTCTGCTGTTCCTTCCCCTCAGAGATCCAAGAACCCACTCCAGTGAAATGCAGGTGCCCATGCCTGCCACCCGCCCCTGGAGACAGCAGGGGAGCTGAGGCAGGAAGGCTGGCCAGGGGCCCACAAGACTCTCCTAATCCAAGCACTTTCCTCACTTTCCTAACGTCTTGGCAACAAAGGGACCCCACCCTCCCAGCCGGCTCCTGGGCCCTCCCTGCAGCCTCTGAGCAGCTAGGCCTCCGTCCTGTGTGCGTGCATGAGTCTGCGTGTGGTGGGGTGACTACAGGCGCTGGTCCTGGCTGCCAGGGAGGGCAGGAGAGATCTGGAGTCAGCCCCACTGCAGGGCCTGGGGGTCAGTATCAACCAATCTCCTTCCACTGCTTGTAGAAGTCCAGAACATTCTTGATATCCACGCTGGCGTGGGCAGCGGCCTGCAGGGCTGCCTGTGGAATGGGAGGAGGAAAGATGGAGAGGGTCTGACCTCCTGAACTGAGGAGCAAATCATTGAGGCGCTGGGGAAGGAGTGATGGAAGAGAAAAATGCAGCTATGTGGAGGGTCTGGGGATGGAGTCTGCTCTGCTACTCATCCCTATTCCACACCATCCCCCCAACTCACCCATGACCCACCTGCATGGGGCCTGAAAGCACGCTGGGGTTGTCCAGTGGAAGGCCTGTGATGATGGTCACCATGCCGCTCGGATCCTCCTCACCTGCCCCCTGGGTCAGAGTCAGCTGTTTGCAGCTGTCCAGGATCTTATAGAGAGTCCTGGGGATAGGGGGTGGAGGGGAAGATGGGCCAAGACCCAGCATTAGCACAGCCCAAACACCAGGATCTCCAGGGGACAGGGGCAGCTAGGGGCAGCTGGGGGCTGGAAGGGCAGCAAGCGGCAGTGGGCCCTGGAAGCTGGCCCTGGAGACACTATGGGGAGCCGGCAAAGGTGCGATGAGGGAAAACACCAAGCCTGAGCATCGCAAGGCCCGAAGAGGCTGATCCATCTGCCTACAGAGGAAAAGCTCAGGTGCTGGGGCAACTTCGTACTCCCCGCAAGGTGAGGCCTGCAGGAGGGCCCCGGCAGGCTACGTGTGGAGCCTCAGAATTCTCCAGCCCTACCCGTTCTCCCTAGGAATGCTCATGGAGGAGCAAGGCAGGTGGCTTGACTGAGGTTCTAGGGGTGAGGGCTAAACTGTTACCAGGCATCTGCATCCTGCCTCTTCAGCTTATGCCGCTCAAAGCTCTTTCCCACCTCTTTCTGGCAGCGAATGTACCTGCAGAGGAGATGTGCGAGTGGAGGTCAGGAGCAGGGGACTGGCAGGGCGCCTTACATGAAGCAGTCCGTTGTGGCTCTGGGGGCCTGGTTTTGCAGGTGGGGGTGGGGAACATGTCTCTCCCACCACAGCTTTGTTTGGAGCCATTCTTAAGTGGCTTCCTGGCTGCTGGGCCCAGCTCACTTTTTCTCCTGATAACATCAATTATTTGGTTCCTCTCAGGGGAGGAGCTGAGAGGGGAGAAGCAGCAGATGCTTTTCAAGTCAGGGCTTCTGGAGACAAGGTCCAAACAATCAGGCCTTGTGCAGCTTCCTGGCCAGGCAGAGCAGATGCAGAGGAGGGGGTGGGCCAGCTAGCAGGGAAAAGGAAGCTTTCTTCTTATTCCCTACACCCTCTGCCTAGTCCTCCTCCGGCCCCAAAGGCCAGAAGGGCAGGCCTGTACTGGCTCAGCATCTGCTACATGCTGCCAGCTGCCCCTCCCTGGCTGGCTTCAGTCTCACCACTCTCTCAGCTCAGCGGGGAGGTGGGAAGCCCCTGGGCAGCCTGGAAGAAGGCCTTCACACTCTGAGAAACCTGATCACCTGTCCCAACCCTAAAGCAGGAGAAATTCCTATAAAGTCTAAAGCTGGGGGAAGGAGGTCTGCTCCCTTCTCCCCAGTGGGTGCTGGTCACAGGCTTGTCGCAGAGGAAGGACAGCAACTCAGTGCTACCCACAGGGCTCCTGGCCCCTTTGATCACCCTCTATTTCAGCACCTACAACCTTGACTTCTGATTATCTCTGGTATCACTGCCCATGCAGTGAGCTGACTGTGAGTAGAGATGGGTATGTATGTGTCTTACCCATAGGGAGCAAGCAGCTCATAAGCATGTGTCGTCCGAAAGACAGATCCAGGGCTCAGCACAAGTCCAGCCAGGCCTGCACTCACCTGTTTCCTTTTTTAAACTCTGCCTCCAGGTACCGAATCCCATCCCGGGCCCCTGGGTGTTCCTTCTTCAGCAAATCCAGGCCATCGATCACTGGTGGGCAAGGTGGGGGTAGGAAAGGACAAAACAGATAAGCTCCGACTGCTGTGACAAGGGGCTCTGGAGGAAGTATCTGAGCTCACCTCAGTACACTCTTCAGGCAGAGAAGGGACCCTGGCTCCAGAGAGGGCTCCCAAAGTTCTCTGAAAATGTGACCTTCCGCCAGCAATATACTTGGCAATTTACCAAGTGCTTTCACATTATATTCACTTACATTTTCTGTTTCTCCCAACTGTCTTGTGAGGCAGAACAGGGATTGTTATGTCCATTTCACAGATGAAGTGACGGGTTCATAAAGGTGGTAAGACTTGACTAAGGTGACTGTGTATAAACTGGGCCCAAATAAGGTCTCCTAATCCCAAGCCCAGAATCTCCTTTAGCCATACTCTATCTGTCCCCTTATCTCTCCAATGTACTTACCTGTCCTTGGGATGATGACAATGAAGCGGCCACTGGTGGCCAGTTGGCGGATGACAGGGAGATGGTGGCAGAGGGCCTGGGTGTCGGGGACGAGGTAGGGAGACATGGCTGACTGGGCCTTGGGCTGCTGCAGGCTGCCCTCCAGCTGAGACACTTCGAGCTGGTGAGAGAGGGCAGGGTGGGCACAGCTGCGGGGGACCCCTGCAGCCAGGCTGGGGGAAGAGTGGTGCTCAAGGTGGCTCTTATAGGGCTCCTCCTGTTAAGGGGATCAGAGGACCCTTTCT